TGCCTCTCCCAACATAAGAATGGAAATATTTTCACTAACAACCTCTCTTTCAGAAAATTGGTTGGTGCAGATTCTCTCTAGATGGCAGTGGAGCTCTATAAATAAGGATTCTGCTTCCTTCCCCCACCCTCTTTCCATTTCTTCTGGAGACTCATTTTCAGCTGTATTGCTCTATGATTTAACAGGGCTTTGATGCTGTGAGATGTTGGCGGGCACAAATCAGACTTTCTTTTCTAAAAGGATAATATACTGCTTTTTCAAAGTCAATTAACACTTAGGGCAAATGAAATGGGGAGAGCTAAAGGTCAATTACTAAAGGATGGCCACAAAAATTTTTCTGGTTTACACAGCATTCATCCAGGGATTGCAGAACGGTGGGGAAAGAAAGGAAATAGTAATTAGCTCATTTGATTTCTTGATGGTTACCAACAAGATAGTTAAATACAGCTTATCTCTTTTATTATTATCAAGTGTGACTGGTGCTAATAATCATTCTGACCAGCTCCAGACCGTGTTTTTTTCAAGGCATTGTGCCTCCATCACAGTAGCTGCGAGGCTCTTTTGGCAATTTGTGCACCAGGCAAAGGTTAGCAGAGAGAATAGCTTTAATACTTCAGGTTTGGAGTGGAGTTAGTAAGCTTTGTGTGTAAAAGAAATATTGTAGCTGGGCAGTCCAGCTATTAAACAAAGAAGGGCATTAAAGGAAGGGAGACTGAGTTCCTTTTTCACTGTCATTCATCATCCTGCTTAGAACAAGCAGGTGAGTTAAAACTTGGCCTTTGGAGGTCTGTGGTGCACTGTCAATGGCTAACCACTAGCTTGGTTTTCATGTCATGACTGATGCTGTTTTACAGGTGAACCACTATGGATTTAATCAGACAGGACTCCAGCTGCTTAGATTTATCTGTCTTCATGTAGCTCATCTGAGTCACTCTGGCATAAGTGATGCAACTGAGTAGTGCCAACCACAAACATCTAAATCATTCTGAGATGTATGCCTTGTTTAAAACAGGGAGGCTCATGTCAAGAGAACACACAGCTTAGAAGATCCCTCCATAAGAGTAACAGTAACCCCATATTCAAAGGACCATTCATAACAAAGTGAGGTAGCAGATTACTCTCTTCTCAGCTTAATGGTGACTGCATATGAAAATGGCCAGCCTTGAATCTGTGCTCCCTGCTTGCCTTTTGTGTGTCAAACAGCTTTGCAGGCAAGACTCACACTTAAGATTGCAGTCAAAGTTCATTTCTATCTTTTTTAGAATAACTCTGCTGAGTTTAATAATCTCATCCTTTGTGAATAAGGAGTTTCTGTTTGCAGTTACATGAAAAGAAAAAAAGCCAGTGTTAAAGGCAGCAGGAGATTGTTTCAGGCCTGACTATTCATAGGGCCAGACCATGAGGGCCAGGCAAAGCACATAATGAGCAAATTCTTTCGAGGTAAATTGTTATTTGGGACTCTGAATGGGTCTTTAATTTGTGTGGGAAAATACACTGTGTGTTGCAGTTGACTTGCATGCAGGTAGTGACTTACTGCCAGCTGTCAGCAGTGCTCATTTCAGTGTCTGAGACAGCAGGAGAATAATACAAAGTGCGCACCTAGAAGTCGTGCTCCCTTGTTTTCTGGTGTGTCAGAGAGGCAAACCTCTCCCCAGCAATGAGTGGTGTGTGGAGTGCACTGACTGCCCTCCCCACCTGCAGCCACCAAGCTGGATCCTTTTGTGTTCAAAGCTCAGCAGCTCTGCTCTCCAGCCGCAGGCACAGCGCCAGATTTCCTTCCTGGAGTTTACCAAGGGAGGATCAAACGGGGATCTCTCTTCTTCCTACGGCTACAAACTCTATCCCACTTGAAGGACATATGAAATGTTTTGTCATGGCAGTGGCTGCTGCTTTGCTGATGCCTGAGCTGGCTGGAGAGCACAGAGGCTGCGTGTAGGTTTGCCTTGCCCCGTTCAGAGAGAGACATTTTCCTGGCAAACACGCATCCTGCTGCCTGGTGCAGTGTTTTCCCTGGACAGACCTGCTGTTGGAAAGCTGGCAGGTAGGAACTGTGTCTGTGGAACTGTAGGGCTGTTTTGGCAATGTGTCTGCACACAGCAGACACATGACTGGAGTTCTGGGCAGGTTTTACAGCACATGTAATCTAAATGCTTCTGTGGTGCATCTTACTCTGAGTTCATGTTTCTCTTGTCATATCTACTTATCTTGCAAAAGGTTTATTTGGGGCAGACAACATGGTATTTTTGGACTGCTGAGCACCCCAGAAACCAGGGCAAGTTCACTGAGCACATTCAGGTCAGTTGTACTGTGTCTCAACTGATCTGCAAATGTAACAGAGCACAGTGCAAGGGGCACACATTGTAGAGAAATTGCATTTGTCTTTATTGTCCTGGAAAAATGCCAGCTTTGCTAAGGTGGCCTCAGGGTTGTCACTGTAATGACCCTAGAACAATTTTGGGGACAGCCTTCCATGTGTGAACGATGTTACCACAGTATCTGTTCTACTGGGGAGCAAGAAATTCCAGATACACTTACAGGGAGATACTGTTTCCCACGGTTAGTAGAACTGTGAGACTGACTCCCCTTCTTCCCTTTTATGAACTTACTTCTGTTCTCCATTGAATGAGACAGCATCTATCCTGCACGCTTAAAGAAAAAGAAAATTTGGATGCAACTTTTGTATTCGCAGCTTTGAATTGGTAAGCTTGTGAGAACAGCTGTTCTTTACTTCAGCAAAAACAGGAAACACAGAGATGAGCAACAATAAAAACAACAAAAAAAACCCCAAAAACAAAAACAAAAACAAAACCCAACCAGAACCAAACTCTGGGTGATCAAAACCAGTCCCTAAAGCTTTGTGTATAATGCCTTTCCATCTGAGCCAGCATCCATTGAAATAAATGATAGCTCCTTTTCTCTATTGTTGACAGAAACAGCTTAAGGCAAAATTGGCAAGGTGTGTTAGAACAGTCTCCCCATGTGTAATGTTTGAGGGAACTCACCCTCCCACGCAGCATATAGAGGGTGAAATCCACTGTTTTACATAGCGAAATAGATAAACTACAAGTTTTGCAATTATTGGTATTGATGTCTAGCAAGGATTAAAACATGAAATCATGAAATCTTTCCTTACGAGCTGATGCCATGATTTACTTCAGACAATCTACCTTAACAGATGCATAAAACCCAGGATGGTTTATGGCCATTACCATTTATGACTCTTCACAGTCCTTCTTGTGACCCACTCAGATCAGAATCTTTCTGAAAATGTGCATTTTATTCTGGAACCCAAACAGTCATGTAGAAAAGGGATTTATGATTAAAAAAAGTCCGCAAAAAGTCAGTAAGTAATGGATTTGCACTCCTTGTCTCCTTGATCCCTAGAAATAGGAAAATAGACCTGAGCTATGAATGTGTGTTCATGGGATATTTTTATATTTCAGTCTTCACAGTGCACTGTAAGGAAAATTAATTTAAAATAAGAAAATTAATATTTCACTTCTCTTAATTTTATAGAGGGGGTGTTTTGAGCTTGACAAGGTCCACTAATTAATTTGTTCTTCCCGTTAGAAAGTATTTCTTCCATTTTTATTCAGGCTATGAAAGAACTAGTATTTTTGTTCCTTGGAATATGCACCCTGGCATCTCTTGCCTCTTATAAACAGGATTATGGGAAAAGGATACCAATGGATTCCTGGCTGTTATCGTCTGTGTGTTTTGGTCGATATTGGGCTATTATGGTAAGGTCAGTGGGAATCAAGAAAGCACAAGGGACTTACATCCTTTTTTTTTTTTGCCATGTAGAAGAACCCTGAAGGGTGGTTCTTCATGAAGCTGTACTTACAGGAGACCGAAGCAGTGCAGCTTTGAGGATGGAGGTGGAGAACATCAAGGACTGAACGTGTTTATGGAAAGTGTGCTTACGGAAAAGGCTTTTGGTGAGTTTGGAAAAGTTTCTTTTCCTTGGACACATCTAAAAGGCAGAAAGGAGACACTTATTTTTTCCCCCCATTGTTGTTGTTTTGCAGACAAACCTGAAAAAGAGGAGGGAAGAAATTTCATTGGGGAATTTCATGGAAATATTTTGTCATTCTCTCATGATGCAACCACCAGCAGACTGTTCTTTTCTGTAATGAATGTGAATGTAAAGGGGAACTGAAGACCCTTATCTGCTATGAAATAAGATTTGAATAAAAAAAGAGCTTAATCTTTTGTTCAAGTCAGCCCAAGAAATGGTTTTTAACCCATGTGGAAAAAAACTCTTGATGTATTTATGTGCCCCGTAGCCAAGAGAACATAAAATACTATTGGAATTTGGATCAGTTCATTATTACTCATAAAATTGAGTTCATTTTGAGCCACATATTGAATGATGCTGGATTTATCTTATGTAATTCATATAGGGTTTATATTGAATTTACTATAGAATGAGTATTGGGCAGGGGAGTTAACCATACCTTTCTTGCCAAGCAGATATAAGTTAGTTTCAGAGGGTATATTGTATTGTATTGTATTCCCACACTGTTGAGGAAGAGATCAATGGCCTTCTTTCTTGACAAACTTTAGAAAATCTGTGAGATACTTCATTTGTATTACTCTTAGCTGAGTATCACATATTCCATCATGTGTTTGAAAACACATTTTTAAAGGGAGGAGCTTTTTCTTCCTTTTTAAAATAATACCTTAAAGAATGATATGCAACAGAATATAGATTGTGTCAGAGTCCTTTCAAAATTTCAATATTTTCTTCTGCTACAATGGTTTAATTTAGAGGAGTCTTCTTTTGGTAAGGGATTTGTATCTCTTTAATGAAACTGAAGAGCATGAAATGTGGTTTCCCTTCTTTTAAATGAGGCCAATTTTAGAGAAATAAAATGAGACACAAATAAATTGTTGAAGTCACAGTGCATGAAATTAAGAGAGCCCTTGACTATATTGGCAACAAGTTTTCTCTCAAGTGTTTTGATGACCATATAGCTAAGTGGTTATGGGCTAATTGTGAAGAGGCTTTTTTTCTGTTGTTTTGTTTTGGTTCCTATGCCTTTGACAGATATATTGGCTTCAAGCTATTTTGCAGACTCTATGGTCCTGATCCCACAGGTGTTTTGATCCAGGTGGAGCCTCCTGGCTCCAGCCAGGTTTTTTGTGTATAGAAGCTCGTGCTTTTTGATTTAAAAATCCCTCCTTGTAGGCAGGTACTTTGAAATCAGTGGGGCACAGCCCCGTGTCTTTTCCTGGACACAAAGAACTGCAGACTCAAAGCTATTTGTCAGGATTTTTGAACATTTTCAATGCAGTTGTGAGTTCCTGGCCCTCTGAGTTCGATCTATTGCAACACAGTGGGGTGAGGTAACCTTGGCAAACACCCACCCAGCCTCTCTCTCACTTCATCTCCTCAGCAGGCCAAGAAGAAAGAAAAATAGGATGGAAAAGCTGATGGGTCAAGCTAAAGACAGAGAGACCACTTAGGAGTTAGTATTTCAAGAAAAAGAGACTTTAACAGATGCATTACTAAAATTTCTGTTTTATTGCCAATTTATATAGAGTCACTAGAAAAAAAAAAAAAAAGACTAAAATACTTCTCCTACCGTATCTCCCAAGCTCATCTTTGCTTCTTTTTCTACCCCCTGAACAGGGAGGTATATCAGGTTCTGAAAATTTTCCTTTCAGAATTATCTCCCAAGAAGAGATCTGCTCTTTCTGAAGTAAATCACAGAACACCCTCAATGTCCTCTAGCAAATTTTACACTCTTCTATGTCTTCTGGAGATTCAAGAATGACAGAATTCTGCAGGAAAAGAAGAGAGAAATGAAAAGGATTTTTAATAAATAGAGGCCTTTAAATAGTGGGTGACTAAAGTCAATCAAATTCAAATAAATTCAATAGGGTAAAAAGTGAGAAAGGGAAATGAAACATTCTAATAATTGATAACAAAGATACAGTAAATTTCAAAATTCTACCTTTTTGGACTATTTTGGATATATTTTTTAAAACAGAAATGAAGTCCTGATTTTCTGCCACCAAAAAAGGGGAAAAAAAGGCCAAGAAATGCTTTAATGAATAGAGCACTAATTTTGAATGAGTACTTATCAGAACACTAGAGAATTCTAGCACTTTTCTGAAACAGAAGATTTCTGCTTTAAAGAACATTAAAAGGTGTCAGGTTTTTTTGAATTGTGACATTTCCTCATCCATTTAAAGCTAGGTGTGTGTCCAAGTTCTGTTTCAGAAAATGAAAAGTTTCATAATCTTGATCACAGCAGATTTGGGATTTAGGAATCCATTGTTATTAGGCCTATATTAGCAATATAGGGCTAATAACGTTAAATTAGCATTGTTATTAGCCCTATATTAGCAATATAGTACTGGTGTTGAGCTTCACTTACAGACCCACTGACTTCAGTGGGATTGTAGAGCTTTGCTGGTTTGGGGCCTAAATCACAATTTCCCTGAAAGCAAAGGGAATATATTGATTTAACAAACCAAAGTTATGGCCTCAACCATACCCATTTAAATCAAAATTCACTGTCTCTTGAGGAATTCTGATGGTTTTAGAGATGTATCTCCAGATATGGTTACATGGCCATACATTTTTCTTGCTGTTCAGCATAAAAAATTCTTCAAACTTAAATTGGTCATAAACCTGTTCTATATTGTTTTAGTGGAGAGGATGGGAAAAGACAAACTTTTCTTGGTGAGGGTGGAGTGGGAATCTGTGAGGTATGTAAAGAGTGTGTCAGAGAACAATATAATTTGTTCCTCTAGCTTAAAGATCTATCAGTGTAAGCCTGACTGTAATGTGGTAACTAAATGGCAAATCAGAACCCCCTGTCAAAAATGCTCAGTCTTGGAAATTAAGTAGAACTTCATGAAAGAGAAAAATATCGGTAGATCAGAAATACTGATGCTTAAGAATGGAAATAATTGTGATTTCCATAAGGGGATTGCCAGTTTTCAGGATTTAAATTGCATGCAAAACTGGATTTTACATCTCTAATTGAAGATGTGTTGCCTTAGAGGCTTGACTTGACATTGACAAACTTCAACAGAATACAAAGACAGCAAAATGGGCTTTTGTTTGCCTTGAAAGTGATTAACAAACTCATACTGTGATGTTCCTTTTATTCCTAGGAATGCCAGTGGGATGATAAGGTTACTTCTAGGGGAGATTAAAGGAGCCAGTTCCACAGTGGTGGTAGGAGGTATTGAAACACAAACAGGTCATGCAGAAAGACTCTGATTCGTAGAGAAAAACCTCTTATTTTCTAAGATTATAACAAGTACAAAGGAGGATTTTGGAGTGATGATATTAATGAGGTTTTCTTTTTAACGAATAAAATTCATTCTAGAGAAGACATAAGATGTCTGATTGATTTTATTATTTAAAATTTTTGCTCATTAGATTAGAAGTTTTGCATGCTTTTAGGAGAGCTTCATCCTGCATAGACATAATTTGGGAATCATATAATTTTTGAGACCATATAGCAATGTTTATTACTGATATTTATTAAAATACAGTATATATTGCTGATTAATCCAACTAATTTTCTGCTTTTTTTCTTTTTTCAAGGACCATGTATATTTTCCTTTATCAAATTTGTACATAATGCTGGGCTTTTTATTCAAGGGGCAGATAAGTTTTCTTCTACATTTGGCAGGATCACTTTTTTTTTTCCCAAAGAAATCATTACTAGGTAATAAAAGATTATGTAATTCTAGGGGATGAACATTTTGTCAATAAAAGTTAAGACATGATATAAGAAGATAAAAAAGATAGTGTGAATTCTAAAACCAGGGTGCTGTTAGATCTAGGACATTGTCCTTTTGATATGGACAAGCCAATGCTAAATTGTCTTTCCTGAACCTGGTTTTGAACAGTCAAAATTTTTGTCTTTAGATGCACATGAAGGAGTACCTTGCTTATTTTTATTACTTTATTATATATTTGTTTTTATTGCAGAACTATGGCATAATTTTGCTACTGCTTCATATAGATAAGCAAATTACAGAAACTTTTTCAAGAAAGGTGAATGCTCATGTTAAGAGAAACATAGTCTCTCCTAGCCTGGGGGCTGGAGATGCAAGAATTCCTTTCTGTTCCAGGTCACACACTCATTTTCTTCTGTTGGCTTGAGAAAGACAGGAGATCAGCCAGAAATTGCAAGGTAACCCAGATTTTCAAGTGGCAATTTTGAGAAATGAACAACAATAATGTGTTTTAGAGACTATGGGATGCTAACAGTTTAGAGGGTTTTCTAGAGCACTTTTTGTAATAAAGATATGTTTCCTCACTCTAATCCTGAGATTTATAGTAACAGCTTCATCACCTTGTCTTGTCTCCTGGACAGGGAGAGAAATATCTGTAGATAGAGCAGAGCTGTAACAAAAAGTAATGCATGGCTGCTTGCTCAGCACATGAATTTTCATCTGATTGTAGCCAGGGATGAATGAGTGGGTTACTTGTGCCCTGTCTAAAGTGAATTTGCATTTATGAAGTGGCAGAAGCAGAGATATTCTCAGGGTGACTGGTGAGTAGTGGGGTGCACCAATAAGGGCTTCAGGAACTGAGCTTTCCACGGATTTTGTTAAATCCTAGGGACTAAAAAGACTCAAAGAACCTTGTTATAGTTTTATGAATATCATATTTTTGCCTTCTTTACCTGAACTGGTTTTCACTATACCCTGTGTGTAATCCTGTGATTTCTCAGTTTGCTGAGCCTCACGTATGAGTAACCCTTAGGTTAAACATACCTTATTATCATAGCATGAGCTCCACTGAAGTATTTCATTTAACTATACATGATGAAGAAAAGAAGAAAAAATTCTGGAGCAGCACCCCTTGCTTTGTCAGGGCAGCACATTGTGTACACATCTATTACTCTTATTAAGCCAAATAAAAAAGTCAGTGGAATAATATTGTGAGTTTCAAAAAAAATTCCTAAATGGTTCAATATGCATATAAAGAGTATGTGGTTGTATTATATTGTTTCATGCTGCCAGAACTTGTTATAAGTACAAGCACCCCTCTAAAATGAAACACTATTAGAAAAGGCACCTGCCAGCTGCATTAAAAAAAAAAAAAAAAAAAAAGTTACATTAAAAAATAAGAATACATATGCAAATAGATGGTCTGCCAGCCTCTCACAGAGGAAACCATGAATGTGACATGTCTCCATACTGTAAAAAAAAATCAAAACATAGCAAAATGCATTCCATCTCTGGAAATATTTTTTTTTTTGTTGCATTTATGTATGCTTTCAAAGTACAATAAGAGAAAACAAAATTTATTTTGGCCACAGACTTTTTTTTTTTTTCTTGTGATAGTTTTGATTTTCTGTGTTTCTTTATCACCTGAGCAACTCATACAGGCAGTGAAAAAAATTTAATAATAGACAGAATAAAATGTTTTGGAAGGATGAACCTTTAGGTTGTTTATTAATAATCTTTGTTGTCATACTGGTCAAGGTATTCTTTGTCAAATAGAGTTCAGTATTGACCAAGGTAAGACACTCAGTTTTATGTAAGAATTGCCTGGAATTTGGAATTGTTTCCAAACATCCTTTTAGAATGTAAATAACTCACTAACAGTGCTCTGCCTGGTTCAATGACTGTATAATGGCAGGGTAAGGAAGAAGAAATTTGTTGGGAAGAGAAGATGGCCAAAGCATTTATTGACTTTAGGGATCACATTAAAAAATCATGCCGAATTTTATCTGGTTTGCCAAATAAGCCAATACCTAAATATTTTTTCAGAATGTTTTTGCTAATACCTAAACCACATAAATGCATTTATTGCAAAACAACTTGAGTAAATGTCTGGGATGTACCTAAAATTATAGTATATAGACACATTCAGAAGAGAGTTGGAAAGAAACATTCAGAAGAAGGTTGGAATTTATTTCTCATATATCAAGGCTATCAAAGAGAGAACAAATTTATGAAAGGGTTTATTTTACTTTCTTAAATAACTAAACTGTGTAAGCATAGAAGGATATAATTTAAGAAACTGCTGTATATATTATTAGGTGATTTCACTTCTATATTGGATATCACAATTTCACTGAAAATTGTTCCTTAAACCAAGCCTTTAAGAATATGGCCATTTGGCTGTTGCTTATGCCAAGCTTGTTTACACGATGTAACTCATTTTTGGACTTTTCTTTTTCCATCATATTATATGAAGCACACCCTATTCGTGGCTGGGAAATGTGAAATGAGAAGTACATGACCAGAGGTACTACATAAATCCATGACACTTCCTTGCAGCCAGCTACAGTGGAGAAAATAAACAAATGAACTGGTTGCAGCAGGTTTGGAGATAAGAGGGCAAACAAAGGAATAAAGGCTGTTTCCAAATTTTGATATTCTACTGTATAGCAATTAGTAACACTATTCTTTGGTAATCACAACCTAGCAAAATCAAGTACACAATTTACTACTTTATCCTCAGCCCAAAAAAGAAAAGACAAATTTCTAATCTTTCACTGCTCTCTTCACCTGTTCAGATTCTGTTTAATAGTCTGGAAAGCTTGCATGAAAAAAGCCAAGTTGCTTTTTCACCTCCATAATTCAAGAACAGTATATTCTGACTCAGTTGCTGTGAAAGCATATCTCTGAGAAAGTCAGCATTAGAAATCTGGGTTCGTGTTTTCAGTAGAATGAACCACACTTTGTGCTTCAGTCCTTATAAGAAGAAAACCCAAGCATTTTCTTGAGGAGGCCTTGGTGCTTTTGAAATGTTTGCTGATTAGTAGTGGTGTGTCACCAGCTGGAACTACTTGAACTAG